TGGTGGATCAGCACCTAGAAAGGACCTCCACAGCCCTGAAAGACAGCGGAGACCAGGACAACTAGATGAGCCCCAGATACAGATCCCCTGTAAAGACCTTGTCTCAGACGATCACCGGGACAAGACCACAGGAACCAGACGAGTCCTCTGCACAATGTGACATTGCTGCAGCCTGGAATTGAACTGCTGGTTTCGTCTGGTCAGAGGAGAACTGGCCCCCCGACTATTTAAACTGAACTGAGCTGGATAATGACATTACTGAATTGAATGATGAACTGTCTTTAACTGAAAAATGAGTGTTTACTATTGTCATTTTGCATTATTGACACACTATTTTCCTAATTAATGCTGTTCAGTTGCTTTGACACAATCTGTATTGTTAAAAGCGCTATATAAATAAAGGTGACTTGACTTGAATTGAACGATTGTCTTTTTAATAACTAACATTAACACAGATTAATAAATGTATTGTTCCATGTTCGTTTGTATACCGCACGCAAGGTTCTCTGATTTTAGTGTATCTCTGTGGCAGAATTACAGTGTCACATGCTGCTCTGGCATGTATACCACATCGTTTTGTGTCGGTTTCGTGTGGACGCAGATATTTCTTGAAACGAGGGGGAAAAAAAGATCGGATAGGGAAAGCTCTGGCTTCGTGTGGATGTAGCCTTAAGCCTCGTACACACCGGGACGATTATCGCGCGCGCTTATCGCCCGACGTCTTTTGTGTTCTTACCCCAGCGATTTTCGCAGGCGATGAGCCGAGTGAACGTGCAAATTAACTCCCTGATATTAGATGGCGCTTAATGAAAAACAGAAATAAACATCGAATCCTATTTGATCTGCAATTCCTCCCCAGAACTACTTTTTGTAGTCACTGTCGCGTTTGTCATAAAGCCCTTTGTGTTCAGACACCAATGAGACCAGCAGCTTGCTCATCTTGCCTCGATCCATCTTCTTGGTCTACTTACTTCCTCTTTGTCGTTAGGTATCAATGTGTGCTCGGCAAGACCGTTTTGTGCTTGAGCGCCACCAAGTCCCGTTTTACTGTAACTTCAGCAGCTCCAGGCACGTGAACAAAAGCGCCAATCTCATTGGTCGGCCAGTTTTTAATGTTGCGGGTCAAACCAAAAAAACGAGCCCGAGGCGTTTTAAAAAAAAAAGACGCTTTTACTCCACTCTGTCTGACGCTTGGCATTCTACTTGGTGATGTGAGGCTTGCATGCATCTGCTCGGCCATTGAAACCCATTCCATGGTTTTTGCGCTGATATTAATGCCAAATAAGTTTGTAACTCTTCAGCTATGAAATCAGCAGAGCGTCAGCATGTGACTCAATGACTCCGCTTTCTGATTTTACATGGTCTTCTGCTTCGAGTTGCTGTTCCTAAACGCTTCCACCTTCCAATACTGCTTACAGTTGTATGGAGCTTATAATATGACAAAACTAACTGAATTTGTATTGTGTAAATTTTAATTATTGACAAGTGGCATTTAACAAAACTAAATATTATGTGGCATTTAACATAGTTCTGAATGAATTTTTTTTTTTACTTGAATATTAAACATTTGAAATTTAACACAACTGAATGTTTTTATGGCAGATTTTTTATAGACATGTATTTTCAAACAGCTATTTTTTTTGTTCTGAAATCTTAGCAAATATCCAGTTTTTAAAAATACAGCTTCAAGTTTTCAAGATGAAGAGGAAATTCGGAACATCGAATTCAATATTCTAAAATTCAATACGCAGAAATTCAGATCGTATAGAAAGTAAGTCAGACATAATCCACAGGGAAGAGTAGATGATCTCCGAAAAGTCAAACGAAGCATTTTGGCCAATTAGTAATTTTCTGGCGTGAGCGTGTGGTTTAAGATCTACCTGATCATGAATCGCCCAGAGGTAGCCTAATTGATTCTTAAACATTTATGGTTTATATACTTATATGTTAAAGGGGTCATATAATGCGATTTCAATTTTTCCTTTCTCTTTGGAGTGTTACGAGCGCTTAGTGCATAAAGAAGATCTGTAAAGTTGCAAAGACTAAAGTCTCAAATCCAAAGAGATATTCTTTATAAAAGAGTCAACCACGCCTACCTAATACGCCTCGTTCTAACACGCCCCCCACATGTCTACGTCACTATGTGGAAATATTAGCATAATGCCGCCCAAATGTGCACGCAAAGAAAGAAGGCGTGGTTTCAGGAACAGCAGTAGTGTTGATGCAGCCATGTCAGGGAGACGCTGTGTGTTTCAGTGCGAAAGCACTTTATTTGGCCTTCCGGAAGTAGATGCAATTAGGAATCATTGGTTAAGATTTATTTCCAACAGAACAGCACAACCCAGATGTTCGAATTTGTGCAAAGCATTTTATGGATGACAGTTTTTTGAATAGTACAAGGCTGACTGTGCACAAAGGCTATTTCTAAAAAAAGGGTCAATTCTGACTTTGCTATGACAATCTGGCGCTTCTGAATCAGAGATTGTAAGTATGTTTTGTTATTAGTTTAAGTATTTGCTATTGACTGTTCAAATGCGGAGTTTTGCGCAGCGCAGAGTAACGTGTCGTGTGTGTGTGAGTGAGGGGAACAGGGTCACATCACAGGAGAGTGAACTGCCTGTCAGAAATCATAGCATGTCAGCTGTCTTAACCGTGGCTTTTGTACTGCATCATCACTGTGTCTGTCACACGACTCTGTTGCCCTTTCGGGCTTGAACTGATGGTAAAACTAACAACATTATTAACTGTCTTGATATTTACTTTGAAAGCTGACGCTCGCGATTATGGTAAGGGGCATTCCATTTCCGACGCGTGCTTGTGGTGTTCGGCCAATCACAATGCACTGGGTCAGCTGGCCAATCAGAGCAGACTGCGCTTGTCAAAGGAGGGGGCTTTGTTGAAAACGACGTGTTTGAGAGAGGCGGGGCATAGAGGACCTACAATAATGTACAGTATTTGAAAAATACTGTGTTTTTTGAACATTAAAGCATGTCAACATATTCTGTTACACCAAATACACAAAATGATCTTTAAAATAGCATCATATGACCCCTTTAAGTTAGCATGTGAAACATTTGTCTAAGCCAGTGGTTCGCAACCTTTTTTACTCCAGGGACCGCCTCCTCTCCAAATCAATACATACTTTGCAAAAATGTCACTGCAGATATTCTTTACAACTTAAAAGTAGCTACTTAAAAGCATGTAAACCTTAATTATACAGTAACTTTAACAAATAAGCACAAGTCAACCTGCCATACCAAACAAGACCACAGGAAGACGCATAGGACTGCATACACGGATCCATGCAGCATAACTAAACACACCAAAATACAAATGAAAAATGAAACCATTCTGAATGTGTGGAAACTCAACGATCAGAAGGCGGGTCGATGTCATAAAAATATTCAGTTGTGTTACAATTCAAATGTTTAATATTCAAGTAAAAAAAAAATCCAATTCAGAACTACGTTGAATGCCACATAATAGACACTTGTCAATAATTCAAATTTACACAATACAAATTCAATTTGTTTTGTCATATTATAAGCTCCATACAGTTGCTCGTTGAATATATAGCAGGGATTAAATTTCATGAACTGTGAAACATTCTATCACTGTATTAGACTGAGCTCTTCAAAATAACCCATTTTATTCACATGTTTGTTAATGCAGACTGCATTGCTAGTTGCTTGATTTTTTTTATGGGTTTTGGGTCTGATTGAAACACATAGATTCAATAATTAAGACATGTGTCTCGATACATTTGTCCATATAGTCGCCACAACTTGCCTTTAAGCAGATAATGTTATCTTTATATAGCATATGCCCTTCTGAAGGGGAAATTAAAGGCTCTCTTATCTCTCTGCCACACGAACGTCTCTAAACTTGGCCGGTCCCCTTAATGCAAGTTTAACTTATTAACTGCTTTTTTTAGAAGTAAAAATAGTCAATGATAAAAAGTTAAACCAGATTTTTATTAGAAGACGACAACAACTGTTCATGGCAAAAGTCACTACCGAGATGCCAGAGCATTGCTATGAGATTATAGGGTTAACATTAAGTCTGTAACACAAACTAAGACACTGGCCATCATAGTGTATGTTGTATAAAATAAGATTTAATAAGGAAACAAACACCCATAAATAAGAATACTAAGGCATTGAAACCCAAATACTCATTTAGAACCAAACCCAGAAAGAATTTACAAAGAATTTCTTTGAAATGTGTTCGTTTTATTCAGTTATCCTCCAGGTTTTGGTTTAAATTGGACTAATTAGTAGTAGAAGTGGTTTGGATTCTATAATGCTCTAAATTCAGACCAACACAGACAGCGGGATCTCTTCAGTGCTGTGTCAAATTAATACATTGTTTGAATTGTTTCTTTTTTACACTGCAGCTTCATATCTGTTCATGATACCACACTGAAACGTCTTGCAATACTGGGAAATACTGAGAGCGAAGAAAATGAAGAGACTGTCAGATTTTTCACAAATTAATGCACTTATACCCAAGGGTGAATCTCATGAAAACCGACAAGAAATGTTCAGGTCACATTTAAAAAGCTAAAGAAATAAGAAATTATATTTTGTTTAAACATGAAGCCTATCCATTTTTTAATGACAAGAAAATTCTATTCTCTCCTTAAGTTCTCATTACCGTAATAAATATATATCATTTAAATTCCAAAGTATAATTTGAATTATGCATTATAGTGTTATGTGTTACACTGGAATTATGTTTTTAATAAAAAAGGACAGGATAATTATCTTTACTGTTTTATGGTACAATGAGAATGATTTTTTAAACATTCCTCTAAGAATTTGAGAGGAAATGTGCTGAAATGTCATGAAAATGAAACCTGTTTTAGGAATATTAATATTTGCTTGCATTGTGATATAATTTTAGACACAAATTATAAAATGTATATAGTATTCAAAATTGTATGTAAATGCTGATTTTAATAAAAAATGACAGAAAATATATTATTACTGTATTACAGTAATGAGAATGAGTTTTTGGCGCATTAAGGTTATAAGTCGATTAAGCAAATTTCACAAATTCTCATTACCGTAATATATTAAACATATTTAAAATTGTAAGTATGCATTATGGTAGTATGTGTTAAACTGAATTGATGAAGTCTTTAATTAAAAAACGTAAAATGATCATCAGCATATCACGGTAATGAGAATGAGATTTTTTGCCGCATTATGGTAATGAGAATCTTGTCTCTTTTTTTTTTGCATTACAATAATGCGAATTTGGAGAAAATGTGTTTGTCACGAAAATATGTCAGTGTGTAAATCTTAATGGCTTCATTTGATTAATGCAAATTATAATGACCCGGACATTTCTTTTTCAGGTTCATGCAAATAGGATATTTTGTTTGCATTGACTCTGAATGTAGAAAATAACTGAAAATCAGCAGTAATTCTGTGTGAGCACATTGGTTTTCATCCGTTATGATACTAAGGAAATGAAGAATATGCACTAGAATCAACAGAAACAGCACTGGACCGCCAATAAAAGGAGGGGAAAAAAAAAAAATCAAGAACCAAATATACCGTGTAGTCAGAATCAAAAATCGCATTGTGCAAAGTTGGGCTGATGGCTTTGTGAAGCCAATACGAGTCAGTTCTGAGCGCAACCAAACTCACACACTGCGTCAGTATACAGCCTGAAGATCAAATTCAGTCCTGTCCGGTTCTAGATGGTCTGGTGTAACGTGGAGAAGCCTCAGATGTGTCAGTATGAAGGTCAAAGGCCCGCTGTTTCAGGATATCAAGGAGAACTCCTTCAGCAGTACATCCTGACTCATTGTACTCAGAGACACGTTCTTCCTCACGTTCAGACTGATGGAACGAACCTGCAAACACAACACAAAAAACGAACTCATTTCCTAACAGCCGCCATCATGAATGGAGAAGCGTGAGAAGCTGGCCATAAATTCACTTCACATTAAAACTGAAGGAGTTCCTCAGGGCAGAGGGACTGAGCTCAGGAAAAGAAGAGTTGGGATGATACCAAGATATTTGGCTTTACAATACAATACAATACAATAAACAGACAGTATTTAGATTATTGAATTTGGCTGATGTATTTGCATATCATGAAACAACAATATTTATTAATTAGTGCTATCAAACGATTAATCGCATCCAAAATAAAAGTTTTTGTTTGCATGTGTGTTCTGTGTATATTTATTATGTATATATAAATACACACACATACATGTACATATTTTTGAAGAATATGTTGTTTATATATTAAATATAAATTATATGAAAATAAATATAGACATGTAAATACATGTAAATATTTTCAATATATATACTGAATATGTGTGTATTTATATATACATAATAAATATACACAGTACACACACATATATTATGTAAACAAAAACTTTTATTTTGGATGCGATTAATCGTTAGGATTCACTAATATTAAACCAATAATTGAAATAGACAAGAAATATGATCATATAATTTTCATGCAAGGTCATAGAACTAACCGGTATCTATTATTAACTAAATGTTATTTACTTTTTTAGGCGCATGTCTCACTTTTCCAAATATATTCTTTAAATATTCCACAACATAAACAGGGCTCTATGAAATCAGTTTTATTTTTCTCCAAATTCAGTGTTTTCCTTATGAGTTTTTCCAGAATTTGTTTCGATAATTTTAATAAAAAAGAATGTCTAATCATAATAATAATTAATAGTTCATTGAAATTTTAACAATAGAATTGTTTGAATGGAATTCAAATTGTTTTATTTTTTTCAGAAATTCTGTGTTGTCGGTTTAATTTTTTATGAATTCTGTGTTTTATGATTTAATGAACGAATAAAAGCTATCAATTTAACAAATCTTGTAAAATGAAACTGACAATTCTGAAAAATGTATTTCATTTTTTTGGCAAAAAAATGCTGCATAATAAAGGTTTACGCGTGAAAAAAAAAAAGGATTCATTTGTGCAATATTATGCAATATTCTTTAAAAATAATGGTTTAATAAACTATATTATTATTGTACTAATTATTATTACTTTGAGAAGTACATTCTACTCTACAATAGTAACATATTTCTGCCATAATTTCTGGCGGGTTGTAGTGGAGAGCAAATGTAATGGTGAAGTGCCTCTCAGAGCAGCTCTGGAGATGAAGTATACAGTGAGGTGACAGACGCTGATTTTGCCAACCACCACATTTTGTGATATTCTTCTTTGTACTGCAAATAAGTTCTGTGAACTTTTTGTTGTATTCTGTAGCTTGCAACCCAAAGTTAATGTAGCCAAAGGAAGCAGCTCGCCAAGCAAACTCAAAAGCTTACCAGCTCCTTGAAAAAGCCGGCCTCTCTGGGCTGCTCAGAGTAACGCTCAAACTGATCCAGACCGTCCTGCAGCTTCAAGGTTAGCGTGTCGTAGTTTGAGCGCACCACCTCCAGCACCTACAGATGAGACAACGACATAAACCCCGACACAACTACAAGAAATCTCCCAGGTCCAACTCAACACTGCATGGACACAAATCCACTTACAGTGAAGGACTCTGGCATATTATCTGTTTTATTATAATGGTCCATAGACATGTGGTTAAAGGGTTAGCTCACCCAAAAATGAAAATTCTGTCATTAATTACTCACCCTCGTGTTGTTCCAAACCCGTAAGACCTTCGTTCATCTTCGGAACACAAATTAAGATATGTTTGATGAAATATGAGGGCTCTCTGATCCTCCCATAGACAGCAAGGAGGTAACTACCACGTTCAAGGTCCAGAAAAGTACCAAGATGATCGACAAAGTAGCCCGTGTGACATCAGTGGTTCAACTGTAAAGTTACGAAGCTACGAGTTAAATAACGACTTTATTCCACATTTTCAGTATCATGACGCGAGCGTGTGGAGGCGCTGACCCAGATCCGGCATAATGACGTCATCACCGCCTTTATAAACTTTTTATAAAAAAGTATTCTCGTAGCTCCGTAACTTTACAGTTGAGCCACTGACGTCACACGGACTGCTTTGTCGATCATCTTGGTACTTTTCTGGATCTTGACCGTGGTAGTTACCTTGCTGTCTATGGGAGGATCAGAGAGCCCTCGGATTTCATCAAAAATATCTTAATTTGTGTTCCGAAGATGAACGAAGGTCTTACGGGTTTGGAACAACACGAGGGTGAGTAATTAATGACAGAATTTTCATTTTTGGGTGAACTACCCCTTTAATGTCTAACTGAACTACAGGAACATACTTTAGATAAAAAGCTAGTGGAGTGATCACATGACTGCTGATACAGACATGAACCCCTGCAGTTGGCACAAGCTCTCTGTTTATCCTCTGTTGATCAGCTGACCAAGCAAGATCAGTAGTAGTTTGAGAACTTTACACTCATCTTATAATATCGAACATGTAATATTTGCTTCTTTGTAGTTGGTATACAAGTAGTTGGAAGTTGGAAATGGACAAAACAGCAACAACAAAAACTGTATCTAGAGCTGTTTATCTCTTTATTAACGTTTTTGTTGTTTTATCATTTGCATTTTAGAGTCTCAAAATGTTGACCTTTAAAATCATTACAATTTATTTACATTACAAAGGTTACAGGGAATTTATATTGTCCTTTCTTTAAAAAAAAGAAGCTAAAAACTCATTTTTTAAATAAAATAAATTAAATGTGATTGAATTTTAAATTAAATATATAATTAAACTGTAATGTACTTGTATGTTTGAAATAATATTTCATTAATAATATTTTCTGTCATTTTACCGTGAAAAAATATTTTATTTTTATAATTTAATTAATTAAAATTAATGTATTAATTTAATTAAACCTAACAATATTTTACTGTATTTCTATAAATATTTTATTAAAATGTAATGATGTTTTATAAACAATAATATTTCAATAATACTTTTTGTCATTTAACCTTGAACAAATATTTTTATACTTTCTTTTGTCTTTTTTTTTTTAAATAGTTAATATTTAATAAAATAATTTTCATTAAATGTAATGGTATTTTACTACATTACTCCTTTAATAAATATTTTATTAGATTGTAATTATATTTTTGAAAGTAATATTATTCAAATAATATATTAAATAATATTTACTGTCATTTTACATTGGAAAAATATTTTGGTCGATTATTTTGATACTTTTTTTATTTTAATAAACCTGGATTAAAAAAATAAATAAAATAATTTTAATTAAATGTAAGGATTTTTATATTTTAAATATTTTAGTAGAATGTAATGATGTTTTTCAAATTATAGTATTTATATGATAATAATATTTTCTGTCATTTCACCTTAAAAAATATTTTGGTAGCATTTAAGTTGCTGGGGTATATTTGTAGCAATAGAAATACATTGTATGGGTCAAAATTATTGATTTTTCTTTTATGCCAAAACTCAATAGGATATTAAGTAAAGATCATGTTCCATGGAGATATTTTGTAAATTTCCTACCATAAATATATTAAAACTTAATTTCTGATTAGTAATATGCATTGCTAAGAACTTCATTTGGACAACTTTAAAGATGATTTTCTCAATATTTTGATTTTTTTGCACCCTCAGATTCCAGATTTTCAAATAGCTGTATCTCGGCCAATATTGTCCTATCCTAACAAACCATACATCAATGGAAAGATTATTTATTCAGCATTCAGATGATGTATAAATCTCAATTTCGAAAAATCGACCCTTATGACTGGTTTTGTGGTCCAGGGTCACAAATGAGAGACAAATCAAAACTGATTCCTGTGTCAATCACGGAAAGATATCATTTCAAAATAGCGTTCCCAAAACTACAAGCTGTTTGAGGTCACACTGTGAGCAGTAATTTTACATCGGATGGGTCTGGAGTTTGACTGGGACACTCCAGGGCATGAAACGGGTCCACAAATCCCCAAACTTAAACTAAACTAAGAGAGCCAGAGCGGCTGGACAGAGGTGTGTTAGAGGGCATGCGGGAGCATCTGGCAAAGCGAGATGAAAGAGATGGGAGTTTGGGACTGCTAGCGACAGCTGGAGTAACCCTCTGTAAAACTGACCTCACTTCCAGCACACAGCATCATTACCCTACAGATCAAAGGCTATTTAAGCAACACCTGTGACCGTCCCAATCAGCCGCTTCTCATCCACACACACATACATAGTGTTTGCTTATTCAGCTTCCAAACCAATTCTCTCATTTCAATATAATTGTTGGCGGGACTGCTAGCGACAGCTGGAGTAACCCTCTGTAAAACTGACCTCACTTCCAGCACACAGCATCATTACCCTACAGATCAAAGGCTAATTAAGCAACACCTGTGACCGTCCCAATCAGCCGCTTCTCATCCACACACACATACATAGTGTTTGCTTATTCAGCTTCCAAACCAATTCTCTCATTTCAATATAATTGTTGGCCTTCTGGAAAGTATGTTCATTTACTGTACATGTACTCAATACTTGGTTGGGCCTCCTTTTGCATGAATTACTGCATCAGTGCGGCGTGGCATGGAGACAATCAGCCTGTGGCACTGCTGAGGTGGTATGGAAGTCCAGGTTTCTTTGATACCGGCATTCAGGTCATCTGCATTGTTGGGTCTGGTGTCTCTCATCTTCCTCTTGACAATACCCCATAGATTCTCTATGGGGTTCAGGTCAGGCGAGTTTGCAGGCCAATCAAGCACAGTAACACCATGGTTATTGAACAAGCTTTTGGTGCTTTTGGCAGTGTGGGCAGGTATAAATAATTTAAATATATTAAATATATGTTCAAAGCTGTATTTTCAGCATCATTACTCCAGTCTTCAGTGTCACATGATCTTCAGAAATCATTCTCATATACTGATTTGCTGCTCAAGAAATATTTCTGATTATTATCAATGTTGAAAACAATTGAGCTGCTTCATATTTTTGTGGAAACTGTGATACATTTTAATCAGGATTGAAAAAAAAAATATATATATATTTTGTTACAATATAAATGTCTTTACTGTCACTTTTCATCAATTTAATGCATCCTTAAGTATTTCTTTCTTTAAAAAACTGACTTCAAACTTTGAACGGTAGTGTTTATATTATATATTATACATAAATTACAATATATTACAATGAGGCTAAAAGTTAATGTTCTTTGCAGAAACCCATTAAGATCTCATTAAAGTCTGCTTGATCTTAAGGCATCAAAATGACTGTGAAAACAGTCCACCTGATGTGAAGTATTCAGTTACCTGATCTTCTGAGAGCTGTGAGATGTGGTTCACAGCAGCGTATGACTCAATCTTAGGGTTGAAGTGGTTAATAATTGCTCTGAAATTACAGAAAGAGGCAAAATTTGATATATTTCAAAAGCTTCAGCATGCGACCTGCACTGAAAACAGCCCAGGAGCCCCACACTAGAGGTCCTATGACACATCTGTGTGTGAATAAAAGGTAACGTTACAGAGAATTGTCAAAGGTGTGGTCTTATAAATATTCTGCTGTAATGCTCTGCATCTTGCTTCAAAAAAACAGCACTCGACTTCTTTTGTGCGGCACAAACACATGGTGACATATCTGAAAGCCCAGAGAACGTGTCCACATTACCTCAGACTCTAAAATCAATAATTAATTCACCATGCCCTCACACACAAACCAAAATAAAGACTAAAATACAAATTTTACCAAAGCTATCCAGTGTTAGTCATAGACTTCAACTAAAATGATTATGACCTTCCACGAGTTCACCCATCTTTAAAACATAACTTGCTTGTAAATAAAAGTACATTATATAAATAGACTTTATATTTAGTATTATTTTTCTTATTAATTTTTCACTTTTCAGACATTTTATGCCTTTTATCTATCTATCTATACATATCTATCTATATCTGTATATATATATATATATATATATATATATATATAGATAGATAGATAGATAGATATAAACAAAACACAGAATCAAAGGGAAAAAACGAAACAAAACCAAAATACCAAAATAAATAAACAAAAACAAATCAAATCAAAGAAAAAAAGCAGAGAAAACAAAGGTACTAAAAAAACAAGAAAAGATAAAAACAGAAGCAAAAAAATAAATAAAACCGCTAAATAAATAAATATATAAATAAAAAACATAAGAACAAAACGCCTTTTAGCTATCTATCTATACATATCTATCTATATCTGTATATATATATATATATATATATATATAGATAGATAGATAGATAGATAGATATAAACAAAACACAGAATCAAAGGGAAAAAACGAAACAAAACCAAAATAAATAAATAAATAAACAAAAACAAATCAAATCAAAGAAAAAAAGCAGAGAAAACAAAGGTACTAAAAAAACAAGAAAAGATAAAAACAGAAGCAAAAAAATAAATAAAACCGCTAAATAAATAAATATATAAATAAAAAACATAAGAACAAAACAAAAGCAAAGGAGAAAAAAAGAATTAAAAAACAAAAATAAATAAACCAATTAAAAATATAGGGGGGAAAACAAACACAAATCAAAGGAAAAATAATTAACCAATTATAAACAAGGAAAAAATATATAAATAAACACATTTGACCAAAGCTATCCAATGTTAGTCACAGACCTCAACTAGAGCAGCACAAACTATGATTATGATCTTCTATTATTTCAACATGTAAATCAACTATTTCATATATAACACCTTTATAAAATTACTGAAATGTAAATGAAAGCACATTATATAAATAATCTATATATTTAATATTATTTTATTATACATTTGTAATATAATAATACATATATATATTTATAGAAATATTCTATGTCTTTAACAGATAGAACTTTAAAGGTGCTGTATGTAAGTTTTTGACTCTACTAAAGCACAACAATACCATAATATTTTTGCAGATATTTAAGAAACAAATTAAGTTAACATACTTGTTTATCTGAAAAACAATGCTACAGTCAGTTATTCTCCTTTGAAAATGGTCTCTGTTTTGGTTTGTGAAACCCGCCCACTGCCAGTTTACCCAATTGTATTTTGGCACCCTGGGTTGCCAGTTGGCAGGAAACACAGCGTATTTAATTTCATTCATCGTCAAGTGCGCTCGTTCCTGTTGGTGTCATCAATCTGGCAACCTGCGTGTGCCTCAAGTCTGAGGAGGAGGGGCCGGGTGAAAAAAACCCTCTCCGATAGTTTGAATTTGGACTGCAATACCTAGTTCAACCACTCGATGTCAATCCTACATACAGCACCTCTAAGTATTTTAAAGTAAGATTTTTAAAACTGATCATTTAAACAAAGAATGCAATAAATCCTCTCATTATTTATAGTGAAAGTGATCTAGAATGAAGGTAAACGTGAGCGTTCTGACCTGACGTTGACGAGAGCGTGAGTAACTTTACTAGCAGGCTCCTTCCACTGGCCTGCGTTGGTCGAGACTCGCAGCACTGCGGCGTCATGAAGATCAGGTTAGTGCTTTAGTGATGATGGATAAAAATAAACATGTACACAGCAGGACTGAGCTCAGCTGACTTACCCATGCAGTAGAGGTTCTCAAACACCTGATGCATGCGTATAATCTCATAATAGAGCTCGTCGTAACTGCTGGGCGTGGGCAGAAACGTGTCTCCATACGTGATGAACATGTTAAAGAGGTTCACCACCTAAAGCAGACAAAAACATGTCAAGTAAGGTGAGAAATGCCCAATCAGTACTTAAAAACATGACAAACCGCCGCTCGCAGCGAGTGTGATTTACCTGAAGAGCCAGCTGGAAGATATTGTGCTTCGCCAGAAGGATGGTCTCATTAGACAGCAGGAACTTCAGAAGGTTAATGAGAGCTGGAAAACACAATCAATACATACAGCTGTCTGAAGAAACACACTGAAGTAATCACTGTCTTGACCTGTGACTCCACACAACTGCTAGTATATTATATACATAAATAATGAGCCACAAAAACAAAATGAAAAAATAAATAATTAAAACAAAGACCGCCGCTCGCAGCGAGTGTGATTTACCTGAAGAGCCAGCTGGAAGATATTGTGCTTCACCAGAAGGATGGTCTCATTAGACAGCAGGAACTTCAGAAGGTTAATGAGAGCTGGAAAACACAATCAATACAGCCATCTGATGCTATCTGATGAAACAGCTTTGTTCACACGAAAATAATCACTGTTTTGACCTGTGACTCCACACAACATGATCAGATCCATTATCAGGGGTTGCAGAGAGATACAGGCAAACAGAGGTGCATTTTTTATGGTTAGAAATAAAAACAACTCCGAAAAAAAGAGGAAAAAAACACATACACAGTAAAAAAGTAAAAACAAAACAAACAAAAAAATTCACATTTTTAATTTTTTGTTGTTTTTCATTTGCTTTAGATTTGTTGTTGTACTTTCTATTTATTTATTTAATTATATTTATATAAATAAATAGAATGTATTTATATTTATATAAAGTATTTTATATTTATATAAGTTATATTAACCTAAATACATAAAGTACAAAAACAAAAAAAACTAAAGCAAAAGAAACAGAAAAAGAAATCAAAAACAAAAGTGAATAAAAAAACAAAAAAACAGAAGAACAAAAAAAAAAATCTAAGAAAAACTAAAAATACAAGAAACAAAAATAAATCAAAAACAAAAGAACAAAAACTAAAACAAAAGCAAAAAAAAAAACAAGAGGAAAAAACTAAAGAAAAGAAATCAAAACCAAAAGTGAATAAAGAAAAATAAAAAAATAAAAATAATAACAAGAACAAAAAACAAAAACACAAGCAAAGAAAAAAAGAACAAAAAACTAAAACAAAATCAAAGGAAAAAACAAGAAAAAAGAAAAAAAGAACAAAAACAGAACCAAATGCCAAGGAGGAAAAAAAATTGCAAAAACAAAAAAGAAACTAAATTAAAAACAGTGAGTTAAAAAAGCAAAGAAAAAATAAAATAAACAACCAATAAATAAAATCAAGAACAAAAACAAAACACAAATGAAAAAAACTTAAAACAAAAGCAAAGAAAAAAAAAAAAAAAAAAAAAAAAAAAAAAAAAAAAAAAACCAAAAAAAATGCCAAGGAGGAAAAAAAATTGCAAAAACAAAAAAGAAACTAAATTAAAAACAGTGAGTTAAAAAAGCAAAGAAAAAATAAAATAAACAACCAATAAATAAAATCAAGAACAAAAACAAAACACAAATGAAAAAAACTTAAAACAAAAGCAAAGAAAAAAAAAAAAAAAAAAAAAAAAAAAAAAAAAAAAAAAACAAAAAAAAAAAAAAATTAAAAAAAAAAAAAAAAAAAAAAAAAAAAAAAAAAAAAAATGAATAAAAATACATAACCAAAAAGAACAAAACAAAACCAAAATGAATAAAAAAAAGTTATGAAAAACAAACAAAAAATAATAACAAAAAAAAACTACATTTACATTTAATCATTTAGCAGACGCTTTTATCAAAGCAACTTAAAAAAAAAAAAAAAAAAAGAGGACAATAGAAGCAATCAAACCAACACAGGGTATATACAGGAATAAACCGGTTACATCGGCGACACTAACTTACATTTATTATATATTGATTGTAAGACAGCACAACTAAACACTTGCTTTGTGATAACTCCTTATCAATACAACATAATTCAGAAGGGGGGAACGAAGCACAAGAGAATTAATTAAGTGACTAACCAATGCAACCCAAGAAATAAGAATTAGACCAATAAACAAAACAACTGACAAAACTTATTGAGGAGGGAAAATAAAGCTCTCCGAGCTAACGGGGCAATGAGTTCACACAGTACATTCAAAAGACGTATTTGTCACATCAACTCTTATGTCTGCAAACCATAGCTGTTTTGTGCAGCACTTCTCATGACAAACATCTGACTCCTCAGACAGTTTACCTGTGATTACGAAGTGCTTGATTTGATGCAGACTTGACAGAGTGTCAGTATTGCACCTGATCGTGTCTGAATGATCATGGAAGGTCAAATAATGATCACAACTATTACATCATTTTTATTGTGCATCCCAAGCCCATGCCAGTAATAAAAAAACAGCCCAAAGTAGCGCAATTACCATGTCCCAAATATAAAAATGTCATTTCCATCCCTAAAATACATATTTTACAGTCACTGTTATGCACATTTATCATAAACACAGCTCAAATGCTTCCTACTAGTGTGGCCCAAAACATTTAGCACAGTTTTATTACAGGTAGAATGCAAAATGTTTCAGTACAAGCATTTCAACCAAATGCAATTTATGCAATATTTCAAACCTTTAACCCACTGAGGAAAATCAGCCCATGGCAACAGTTTAAAAGCAGCCCAATTTCGTGGAAAGAAACAACAACAACCCTGCATTCAACACGAGCTTCAGAAGTCAGATTTGACTGATCACGGGTCAAAAGTAAGAAGAGATAACTGACAAGATGTTGGAGGATTTGCTCCTCAACAGATCCTGAGCTCATTGACAAATATCTTTTATCGTAAGGTGTGCTCGCTTTACACAGTTCACGCGCGATCGCGAAATCTGCGACTGCAAGTGCACATTCACATATTGATAGCAACGCCCTGATGCGCGAAAATAATATGCAATATTAGAATGTTTGCTGATATGATGATGAATGAATGATACAAAATGTAATACCTTGGAAAATGGCATTTAAGACTTTTTTAATGCTTATTAAGGGCCTTAATTTTATCTAAATTGATTGATCAACTTTTAATACTTTTTAAGACCCCGCGGACACCCATCAAAGAGCAACAACAATAAGTGTAAAACTACATATTACTATATACATTATATATTTACTACATGCAAAACTAAAGCAAAATAAATAGCAAACCAAAAAAAAAATTTTTTTTTAAAAAGACAAAAATGTAAAGCAAAGAAAAAACAAAACAGAATGACACAGAGTGCATGGCTGTGTTTTACTCAGACACACACCGTAACCATCATACCTGACCAGAGCTCTCTCCACGTGTAGTGCATCCTAATTCTGCACTTCTTCTGGTAGCAGATCAGTTTGTGAATTATCTGAACGCAGCGCCTAAAATAAATCACTTAATTAATTCTTATCATATCCACATTTATCTAAGCATCGCAGTATCTAAAACAGCATATTAAAAGGAAACTCACACGTAGAGATCCATAGGAAACTCCTTCATCATATGAGTAATGATAAACTCAACCATCAGATCTGCAAAGACAAAAAAACTCACATAAACGCTCACAAAATGATAGAGCCATTCACACGATGAATCCCTCATTCTGAACACAAAACTCACCCAGAACTGCACAAACTAAAGGCCGAGAGGGGATGCTCTTATCCGCGGCTTTCTTTCGATGTCTCATGGGCTGAAATACAGGAGTGTCAGTAAGAGAAATTACTTCACTCAAAAGCTACACTGAACTATCCCTTAGAGACTGGCTAAGGTTGATTTCAGTCAGAAGAACACAAATGATCCTGCTTTCACGTGGAGAGACGGAGGCTAGATAACTGGATTTACCGCAGCAGCAGGTAACGTCTGGGACGTCCCATTTCGTAATGGATCGGCTGTATCATGCAGCCAGGCAGCTTGCTGCTTTGTATGACAGAAACATCGTCTTCATTTGGATTCTGCCATTTACAGACAACTGAGACCCGAGCAGAGACTCTTACCATTCTGTGCAAGTTGACTCTGAAGTTCATGTTATCATCGTGGAGAAAAGCGTCGGCGTACTGGTCCTTAAACAGACAGCGAGAGCACAAACAATCCAACAGTGAACGAACTCATAGGAAAAACAATTTTTAATTACCCACAATGCATTACCTCGGCTATGCAGGTCAGAATGATGAGGCACAGCCTGGCACTGTTGAGTCTGTGTTCATCTGAAAACACACAGAGGAAATCTCTTGTCAGATATGCACAAAAGACTGGCTTAAAACTAAGAGAAATAAATGGCTCCGTTCCAAATTCTAGTGAGCTCCCTACTTAGGCAGCATTTTAAGGCACGAAGCGCTTCGGCACAAAAGCTTTTCCAAAATATAGATTAGGTTATGCTGCCTTCTATTAAACATCTTTTGCAAAAATTAAAGAGTGCATGTATCCTTTGTAAAGAACACAATCCCATAATGCATTGCAACAAACGCAAAAATCCGAAATGTTGGACAAAGTGGGAAAAATGCAGATAATAACTATAATACCGCAAACACCAAGTACTGTTTAGTTTAATCTGATTAAAAATTGACTATTTTAGCTAAAATGTGTGTCCTTCATGCTTTTATCACGTTGTTAGCTTAGCGACATGCTAACAACAAACTCTGAGTTTGTACGTTAGGCTGTAGACAGCAAGGAAGCTCATTAGGTTTTGGACAGCACAGACTAGACAAACAGTGATATCTTGCCTTTGGTGTCCTGCATTACGATGGAGGAATATTTGAGGAAGGTTATAAGAAGATTACTCGTCTGCAAGTTTGGGTCCAGAGGAAGCTCGGGATTATTCATCACTGCAAGGAGAGAATGAAAGAATGGTGAATCATTTCTGAGAATGATCATTCGCCCCAATTTTGCGTACCTATACCACACACTAAAAGTATATACTTCGTATTGAGAACGGCCACACTTAGTAATATGTTTTTTTTAAAGTACTATAATCTTGCATAAGGTTTAGGATTGATACACAGCACAAGGTAAAGCTCCATTCATAGTAAGAATGATAACTATAAAGATTTTAGCATCCACGCTTGCTGCCACTCTGTTTCGTCGTCTGCCGCTGTAAATGCTCACGATCTGTAAAGTCGGGTGGATTCTGATTGGCTGTCAATGTTTTACTGTTTATCAGCTGGGAATAAAAAATCCCTTCTGACAGAGATTCCAATGACATTGTTCCTCTGCGTCATTATCATTATAGCAGTGGTGTGGATGTTGCCATTCTTATACAATTAGAACTATTATTAAAACATTATAGTTATTGTTAAATTAGAATGATTATTAAAATGTTATTTTTTTGTTAAATTAGGACGAATATTAGAACATTATAATTTTTGTTACATTTTAATGATTATTAAAATGTTAGTTACTCTTAAATCAGAACAACTAAAACGTTACAGTTATTGTTAAATTACAATGATTATTAAAATGTTACAGTTTTTTGTTAAATTAGGATGATTGTTAGAACATTAGTTTTTGTTAAATTTTAACGATTATTAAAACGTTACAGTTATTGTTAAATTAGAATGATAATTAGAAAATTATAGTTTTTTATTTTAACGATAATTAAAACGTTACAGTTTTGTTAAATTAGGATGATTGTTAGAACATATTTTTTGTAAAATTTTAACGATTATTAAAAAGTTACAGTTTTTGTTAAATTAGGACGATTGTTAGAACATTATAGTTTTTTGTTAAAGTTTAACGATTATTAAAACGTTATAGTTATTGTTAAATTAGAATGATTCGAAAATTTTTGTTTTTTTATTTTAACGATTATTAAAATGTTAGTTTTTGTTAAATTTTAACGATTATTAAAACGTTACAGTTATTGTTAAATTATAATGATAATTAGAAAATTATAGTTTTTTATTTTAACGATTATTAAAACGTTACAGTTTTTGTTAAATTAGGACGATTGTTAGAACATTATAGTTTTTGTTAAATTTGAACGATTATTAAAACGTTACAGTTATTGTTAAATTATAATGATAATTAGAAAATTATAGTTTTTTATTTTAACGATTATTAAAACGTTACAGTTATTGTTAAATTAGAATGATCATTAGAAAATTATAGTTTTTTATTTTAACGTTTATTAAAACGTTACAGTTTTTGTTAAATTAGGACGATTGTTAGAACATTATAGTTTTTGTTAAATTTTTAATTAGAACGAATATAAAAAAATTATAGTTATTGTTAAATTATAACAATTATTAAAGTTATGGTATTTAGATGGAATAGAATAGAATTTACAAGGAATGGAATAAGATGTAGGGTAGTATTAAGTAAACAAAAGTGGTATTGCACATTTTTATTGAACAAGAAGAGCATTTAACTGTTCATGAGGTAATTGAACGATTATTATTACGTTACAGTTATTATTATATTAGAATGATTATTAAAACTTTATAATTATCATTATTGTTACTGTCCTTGTTGTTTACAGGCTTTAACTCTAAGGTAAGTAAGTATATTGTGAATGTTTCTGGACCAAGTAATACATGTCATCCTGATTACAGATGATTGAGCTCTGTTGGCACATTCAAGCAGGAGAACACGCCACATCCACCACAGGAGCTTCATGCTGCCAGATCCGAGTGGATTTAATATTTCATACGGCTAATGGATATCAAGTTTTCAAAAGATTGCTATGCAAAAAGCAGCATAAAATTTACACGTGTTTTAGAGGCAAATGTAAGTGTGGAGTCAAGCTTAAGGAAGCGAGGTGTCGGCTCTACTATAACAGACTAAAAGTACGATTCAGAGGGTAATTTGCTGAACAACAGCGGTTTAAAAAGCTCATAGCGTTTCATTATGCAAACAACCCTCACTTCTGGTTACTGCGCTGACCATTTAATAGAAGTTTGTAGGGCTGGGTAAAAATATCGATATCTCGATATTAATAGATTCTCTTTTTTACGGAACGATATTGATTCTTAAATCCCAAGAATCGATTAGCCTAGCCTGTTTTCAGTTAATGGACGGAACCGTTGAAGGGCACTTCCCGTCCAATAAATCTCAATAAGCATTGCGCTTTGGTACTTTTAATAGAAATCTCAGATTTCAAATTCTGTCCATTGTATTGCAGTATTCAAACAATAAATGCAGTTTTGGCACTGTTTAATGTGAAGTGACAGATCGCTGGAGCGCCTCAGTTCAACAGACGTGGCAGCGCGAGGCGCACGTGAACTGATCATCTCCTCCACATTAATACCAGTTTCAGCACAAAATAAACATGACTAAACATCCGAAGGTAAGTTAAAAGAATGAGTACAACTTTACAATCCTTATCCTGTCTCATGTAATCGCTCAGTGTTTCATCCGTACAGAGACGTCAATATAACGGCTTGTAAACAATGTCACGTAACGTCACATTTACCTCAGAAAAACATATTCGGTGACCATAAACTCATTAGTCATTGTTAAATTAGAATGATTCGAAAATTTTTGTTTTTTTATTTTAACGATTATTAAAATGTTAGTTTTTGTTAAATTTTAACGATTATTAAAACGTTACAGTTATTGTTAAATTAGAATGATAATTAGAAAATTATAGTTTTTTATTTTAACGATTATTAAAACGTTACAGTTTTTGTTAAATTAGGATGATTGTTAGAACATTATAG